TGTTGAGCTTCTCACATACTTCGCGGTCATTTCTTTTGATCTTCCCTCCTTCCTTCCTCAGTCTGATTACCTGGTCCTTGGAGGTTGTTTTCCTCTTGATGTGGCTGTGCTGCTATATCATTTTCGTATTGTCGTTGGGCCTCCCTTCTTACCTGTGCATATTCATTTCTGGCTCTATGACTGCTCTCCTTACTCTCCTGGGTCCTTTGGCTTCCATACTTCTTCCATTCTCTAGCACACTTGGTTTTGGCCTCTCTACACCTTTCGGTGAACCAAGACATCATCCTGTCTTGCTCGTTATTTTTGTTACCCTTCGCTACAAACCTTTCCTCAACTTCCTTTCATATTGTTGTCACATTCCATCACCTCATTTACTGACTTCCCTGCCAGTTCTCTGTCCCACTGAACCCCGTGCAGGAAATTCTTCATCCCTGTGTAGTCCCCACTCTTTTAATTTGGCTTCATTCCTCCTGACCTTCATGTTTCCCTCTCCACTTATAACTCTACTATATATTAGAAGCTATGAACCACATGGTCACTGGCCCCGAGGGGTCTTTCATATGTGATGTCCTCAATATCTACACTACTCACGGTGAATACTAGGTCCAATCTTGCTGGTTCATCCTCTCCTCTCTCTCTGGTAGTGTCCCTTACTTGTTGGTACATGAGGTTTTCCAGTACCACCTCCATCATCTTAGCCCTCCACGTTTCTGGGCCCCCATGTGGCTCCAGATTCTCCCAGTCAATTTCCTTGTGATGGAACTCACCCACAATCAGCAGCTTTGCCCTGCCCGCATGAGCCCTTCTGGCCACTTCAGCTAGTGTGTCAACCATCGCTCTGTTACTCCATCATACTCTTGCCTTGGCCTACTGCTGTTCTGTAGCGGGTTATACATCACTGCAATTACCACCTTGTTCTTATTATGTAGTCTCTTGCTTCTCCTGTCTCCTCTCTCCACCTCATCAAAATCCCAATGGTTTTTGATGAGCACTGCCACTCCTCCACCCCGTCTGTTCACTCTGCCTTTCCTCAGGATCTGATATCCCTTTAGAAAGATGGCATCTCCTATCATTCCTGTGAGATTTTTCTGTGAGAGCCATGATGTCCGGTAATGGCTCTTTGATTCTTTTGTGCCGCTTCTCCCACTTATTCGTTATTCCATCAGCGTTGGTGTACCATACCTTCAGTTTCCTCTCCAACAGTGTGTTCTGGGAGGTCTGTTGGGGTGGGGGACCTGGCAGTGTGCTGTGTGATTCTACAGCATAGT